AGTCAGCAGCCTAATGCTGATGCACCACAGATTACAAAATGGAAAAGAAATTACACTGTTGTTAAATATAGCACTTCCACACCAGCACACTATTCCCACGTAACTTTCTCATCATTGGAACTATTAAATGAAGGACTATCTCCTGCTTAACGGTACTTTGCTAGCAAACAAAGAAAAATTCCAGAAATGTAAAACTAATTTTAAAGTCTTTTTTTTTTTTAATTATTTTATTGGGGGCTTGTACAATTCTCATCACAATCCATACATACATCCATTGTGTCAAGCACATATGCACATTTGTTGACCTCATCATTCTCAAAACATTTGCCTCCCACTCTAGCTCCTAATATCAGTTGCTAATTTTCCCCCTCCTTCCCCACTCCCCCCAATTTTTAAAGTCTTACAACTTATTCTATTAAACTGGCAAATTTAATACATTTGGACTATCTCATTTAAAAGCTTCCTAACAATATAATAACAACAAAAAGAAATAATAATAATAACAATTCAACAGTTCATAATCAGTGAATTTCTACAAGGAATAATTTTTTTTTGTTAGTGATAACATTATTAAAATTTTTCCTTTTTAAAATAATTTTATTGACGGCTCATACACCTCTTATCACAATCCATACATACATGCATTGTGTCAAGCACATTTGTACATTCGTTGCCATCATCACTCTCAAAACATTTGCCTTCCGCTTGAGCTCCAATGAATAATTTTTATTTAGCAACAATTCATATTTAACCATATTAAATCACATAGACTTGCTATTCCTAGTTAAGGTCACCAATTTTATGTTCCTAGTAACTGGCACCAGAAGTCCCAGCATCGTAGTGAATTATGCACTGGGCTACTAACCATAAGGCAGAGTTTGCAACCACCAGATGCTCTGAGGAAGAAGCTTTCTACTCCTATAAAGATTTAGTCTTGGATATCAAGTACCAAAGAACAAAAAACCCTATCATTGTAAAGGTGGGTGAGTGCAGAGTGGAGACTCAAAGCCCATTGGTCGGCAAATGGACACCCCCTTACTGAAGGGTTGTGGGGAGATGAGCCAGTCAGGGTGCAGGGCAGCAACGATGAAACATAACTTTCCTCTAGTTCTTAAATGTTTCCTCCCCCCCAATATCATGATCCCAATTCTACCTTACAAGTCTGGCTAAACCAGAGGGTGTACACTGGTACAGATAGGAACCGGAAACACAGGGAATCCAGGACAGATGACCCCTTCAGGACCAGTGGTGAGAACAGCAATACTGGGAGGGTGGAGGGAATGTGGGGTAGAAAGGGGGAACCGACTACAAGAATCTACGTGTAGCCTCCTCCCTGGGGGATGGACAGCAGAGAAAGGGCAGGGGAGTCGTCAGACAGTGTTACATGACAAAATAATAATAATTCGTGAACTATGAAGGGTTCAGGAGGGAGGGGGAGTGCGGAGGGAGGGGGAAAATGAGCAGCCGATATTAAGGGCTCAAGTAGAAGGCAAGTGTTTTGAGAATGATGATGGCAACAAATGTACATATGTGCTTGACACAATGGATGGATGTGTGGATTGTGATGGAAATTGTACAAGCCCCCAATAAAATGACTGAAGAAAGATTTCGTCTTGGAGAACCAGGGCAGTTCCACTGTGTCTTATACGGGAGCCATGAATTGAAATGGCCCAATGGCACCGAGTTTGGCTTTGATAACGACACATAGTTCAACCAGAACTTCAAAAAAATTGTCTTTGCAACAACTACCAAACTGATTTAAATTTCCACATCTTTTCCAAAAGTTTTCTTGTTATGTAAAATTGGCCACATTAACTCTTGGAAAGGAGTTGTGGGTTAGGTGTTGGGTTGCTAACACAAGGTAGGTAGTTCAAACACACCAGCTGCTCTGTAGAAATGAAGTATCTGCTCCCGTACAGATTTATAGCCTCAGAAACCCTCTCTAGGGTCGATATAAGTTGGACTTGACTCCATAGCAGTTGGGCTGATTTTTGGCTAACTATTAGAAGAGAAAAGTTCTCTGAATCACAGTGCTTCTTTACAACTATCTCATATGCACCACCATCAGTCTCTTCCTTTGCTTCCCGAAGACGAATTACTTAAACACACACGGCCCTTTTTAGAATGTACAGTAAGCATAAAAACTAAGTAGACAGCACCACACATCATACTGCCACTGACAACTCAAATTATGCTTACTAGATCAAACTAAATGGACCAAGTGGTTACATGTGGGGCTATGATCCTCTGGTCAGCAGTCTGAAACCAACAGCAGCCCCGCGGAACAAAGACCAGGCTTCCCACGCAGAAAACCTCAGGGTGCGGTGCTACTGAGTCAGCACCCGCTCAATGGGAGAGAGTCTGGTTCTTTTGGGAGATAAAACTAACATCAGTTTAAGATACAAACTGTAGTTTCGTAAATTTGTGAGAGCCACATAAGTCTTTTAGAAAAAGATGTAAATAAGAAAATTAAATAACTTTTATTACTACCCCACAAAGTTTTAGATGTTTAAGAAAAAAGTTAGGCTTCTATTCTTGAACTGATGAAATATAATTTGTGACACCCTATCATATTTTAAGGCTCTGATAAATAATGAAATATATGCTCCCAGTAGTAGAACAGTTCAAACGACTTTTCCAGTAGAAGCATTCTAAGTACGTCTGACCCAGAAAGTATTTTTAGCTGTGTGCTGAATCAATGCTGGTTTTATGTCTAGCCTAAATTAGAACCTGAGTGTCATACATTTAAAGTAGTAATAATATTGAGGGCATTTAAAAAAAAGATATTGCACTAAAACATAAGGGGGAAAATGCACATTTTGCGGG